ATATATACTAGTGGTTCTCAAACATTTAATAAAATAATAAGTGACTTCAAATATCAATGTTTCACAGCCTTTAGGTGATTTATTTATTTTCCTTTTTTTATTTCAAGATATTTGGTCAACCATAGCACAGAAACAGCTGAACAATGAACGTTAAACTTGKGTTCGACCTACACTGCACCAGCCAACGGTTTTACGATAGACCCCACATTTGAGGAGGGGGCTCCATCTGAAAAGTGGGTGTCTGGACATGCAAAAACTGTTCAACATAGGAGCTTCAAATCTATTTCTTGTTGTTTAGCTTGGATGAAGAGCTACCAATAAGCCCCCCCAGACCCCCCACTCCACTCCCAGGACCCCCACCCTTTCTGAAAAGGCAGTGTACATACAGAAATGCTTATAATTCAAAAAACTTTTCAAAATAGGAGCTTCAGAGTTTTTTCGTTGTTATTTTGGTGTTTTACAACAAAAATATACTAATAATGTTATATTCTTTTAAATCCTTTAAATATTTCAGTTTAAAGGATTTCTGGAGACCATCTGAAGTCCCAGCTGCTTGGTGTTTTAAGACCCACAGTAGGGCCTGAACCCAACTTTAGGCACCTCCCTTTTCCAGATGATTGCACTTATTTATTTTTTAAAATTTGCGTGTGTAAGATTTTAGCTAAAAGAGACAATAAAGTACCTGTTTCTGTTCAGTCAGGTAGTTTTGTTTCTACTCTGACAAACTTTATTCACACAGAGATTGTCAAGAAGTTCCTTCCCACTTCAGCGTGGCCTTTAATCAGTTTTATTTTCCACTGCTGACATTGTTTGAAAGAATTATTCTTTACAACATCATCAACAGGATCTGCTTTCGGACCACGTCAAGGCCTGACCATTTTCGGACTGTTGTAACSCCACACCAGCTGGACAAGCCTCAAAGCCCTGGGTTAAATTTAGAGTTATGACCCAAGCAGGAGCTCACATTCCTGCCCAGACTATTCCTGGCTGAGCAGGTTTGGGACAAGAGGCTGAATTAGAACAGGAAACTCGTCACCACCTCCCAGCCTAGGCTGCTGGGCAGAGAGAGATACAGAAAAGAAAAATGGTACCTAAAGGAGAGAAAAATAAACCTTGTTGAGCTGATCTGGAGTGCCTGAACCCAAGACGACTGTTGAACATGTTTCATTGTTTATTCCAAACACTTCTTAAGTTTTAAGAGAGTTTTTGAACATCTTGAACAGGTTTCCTACAGCTTTAGGCAAGTTAAATTTAAGACTTTAATAYGTTTTTAATGCCACTTGAAAATAAATTAAAGACCAACTTCACAATAAACACGTATACAAAACTACAAAAAAATAAAAATACATCTCAAGCAAAGACAGTCAAGTCAGAGTCAAGTCTCAACTCAAGACAGACAACTGTCAAGTCCCAGATCTAAAACTTGGAATTTCAAGTCCTTTTAAGTTTTWTTTAACAATGTTGCAGTTATATGTTAAATGTAAACAACAGATGGTGTGCTCTTTTTTAAATCTGTATTTATCTCAATTTGTGATGAAACATGCAGCTGAACTCACAAAGCATTTGAGTAATCATTTTAAAATTATACCTCAATATTTAACAGTTCAAATAAACTTAGCTGCAAAAATAGTCATCTATCTATCTATCTATCTATCTATCTATCTATCTATCTATCT